ACGACACTTGGCAGCCACCTCATGTCTAAAGCTTTCGAATCCTGACCCTGTGAACTTTGCCCGGTTGAGGGGTGCATTTAAGAGACGAAACAAAATCCAGTCACATACAATGGGGCGATGCGCAGGTAACAATGCCAAGATAAGTACCTATAGGCTTCCTATTTTCATTTCTAATCATTTTGATCAATGCACAGAATGCGGACACGTGAATTTAATGCGTAGGTGTGAGAAACAGAGCTCTAGTGTTGAGCCACATTACGCTTGCAAGCAACTGCAGTGCATGGATCAGTCACAGTGAAGCTGCAGATTGGAAGCACATCTTGGCAGCAATGTTGTATCATCAATTAGTTGAGTGATACGCCGTTGGGTTTGTCTGTTAAACATCACTTTTTCTAGTCTAATTATTCGGGAGGCAGAGCTCAACAAAGCTGAATTGCATCAAACTAATTAAAAATCTTTCATCAGATTGAAGCGCTATTTCAAAGACGGTCACAACATTTGCTGTGGCATAAAGAGTTGGAAGGCAGAAGATGTAGCTAGCGCAAGACCAGATTAAGCAAAACTTCCAAACGTAAATAACGCATGTCGAAGATTACAAACAGTGGAAATGTAAAACTTGAGGTGAAACCTCGCTAAAAGCATAATCCAGTAATGCTGATATTTGACTGGAACATCCTATATGGCTGTTTCTTTTCTGATATTGTATCTTGCAATTTATTTGCTTTACATGAATCAATCATCTCTAAATGATACTTATGGCTCTGCTATTGGGATAAATTGCGACAGCTAACTGGCGCTTTTTCCAACAACAGCAAGTCTTATGAACAAAGAAAGAAACTGTGCGGGATACAAGCGTTCCACGTACTCACCTTGACTGTAAAACCCAACAAACAAACCACACCAATGTGCACCAAAAACAGCTTGCAGTGCCTTTCTACATTGGAGTTATCCCCCATCGATTTACTTAAGATCACGCTTTTCTTCATTTTTTATCCCTATGCTTCATATGACAAAAAATCAGTGGGTTCTATGCAAACAAATGAATGAAATGATGCACTGTATTAACATGTCTTCGTTCTGAGCTCATAGATTGGATAAGAGGGGACACGAGGTTTCAAACTATTTCTTTTATAAACCGACAAGTTCAACCTCATTGTGTCAAATATGAAAGACTATTGGGCTCGTTTACTGAATGCACGAATATGGATAAACAAGTTGTATCAAAATTGATAAGTTCTTCTTGAAACGTCTAACCCACAAACCATTCACCTACTTTGGCGATAAAAAGCTCCTGTGAGCCGGAGCGAACCAGAGTATTCTTATGACAATCGTATTTCATTTTTCCTGAAAAGCAATAGGTCCTTGTAACTAGAGAGTTCTGCTGAGCTTAATAAACAAAGACCGGGATACCAGAGACATTAACGCCAACCGTTAAAGTAAGCACCAGGCAATCGGAGTGCGTAAGTATGGTCACCAGACGCGCATAAAGTAACGGATAACAGCAACTTGACAGTCTAGATTCGTACGTGTAACGACATCAGCCCTTAGCAAATTCTCTTACATTCCTTAATCACTACCAAATTATGAATATTTTGCGCCTTTGGCTGGGCATGGCTAGACAATCTGCAAGAAAAATGACCGCGTCAGAAAAAAGGGCGAATAGAAATCAAAGCCGTTAGTTGGGTGGTTTAGTCAAACAGAAAGGAAGCAGGAATTAACTCAAAATTCATTGACCTTGTATGAGGTAGAACTAAGAAAGAAAAAAGAGGGAACTAAAGCGACACAAAATGCACTGCAAAACATTCAGAAACGGGTAGGTAATGCGCATGGCAAAGGGAAGCTTCAATGAGAGCTTACTAGGATTGTAGGCTCCTTTTTGACCATATAACTGCTCACTAAAATGGTCAGACAACTGAAAAATGGCTCAGGATCTATTTACCAATCACCACCGGAGAACTGCCGAGAGTATTTTAACAGTTGTACACTGTCTTATATTCTCAGTTTACCTGTCCTGTTCTGAATATCACAAATACCCTTGAAAATGGCATGAAATTGTCCTCATTTTCTACAATGTTTAATAAAGAACTCCAGCGAACAAGAAAACAAAGCTTACCGACACTGGCCATGGCGGGAAGGTGCCTAGAAAGGACGCTTCATACGGATAGTTGACCATCGCTACCGTACCAAAGAAATCTTTTAAATAGTCCGTCAATTGTTGAACTCCACTCAGCGGCTCACAAAGCATGAACATGTTGGTTAGCAAGGTCATCCCCGAGGCTGAAGAGTGGAAATGGGCGTTCGCATAGTGCACTCATCAGGACAAAAAATGAAAATTAAATCTGTCTTCCAATCTATTGGTACAAATCGTGAATTCTATAGAGTGAAGCCAAGTTAGCGTATGGATAATCCAAAATGATGTGTACTATAGTACAGTGTATTTGAGACCGCCTAGCACGACTTCTTCCACTACACAAAAAAGCGACATGACTATATTAATACCCATAGAGCAGTTTGATTAGTTTCGCGTATGGTAGCATAAAACGAAACACTATCAGGATGGTATTTTGTTGAACAGAGTTCAACGTCTCATGGTCAAAAGGATTCACAATCAGATGCGCGAAAGGTATATGAAGCTCATGGATATATATTTTTTTATTTCTTTTCATTTTACTTCCTTTTATTGAACATACAATTTTCAGAAAGGGGGAAGCGGCCAATCAAAGGGCTGCCATTCAACATACAAAGGGGAAAGTCAGGCGGTGGTGGTGGGATCCGAACACACATATTCGGAGTGATAATTTGGCAACGTTACCACTGATCGATGTGATACCTTGCGGACTTGGACATGGGAACCCCGTTTGAACGGCTTGTGATTTGAGAGAATGGAAAATGATCTCCAATGGTTTTTGGACTTGAATCAATGATCCGAATCAGGTCCTTCAAACCAACCAAGTACTATGCCTTGGGCGACCAAGTAGTAACATGGTCCATGATTTCAATACTATAATGGAAGAAAACTCCGACTTCACGTCATTATCCTTATTCTGTTCCTATGACGTGCAGCGTTGGCACCCTGNACACAGATACAATGCTTTTTGTGATACAGCAGAAACAGGTTTACCAGGGCAAACAGTTTCAGTTTTTACAACCATTAACCATGCACTTTCGTGCGCCGGATAAAAGAGCGAAATGAAGATTGGAATGTCGAAGCAAATTCAAGCGGAAGATGGGGAATACATACCAGTGTGGGCTACCGCGAAGTATGCCGTGCCGTAAAGTCTTGGGTCCCCATTTGGAAAACCAGGGCAAACAACAAATGAAACTATAAGAAAGACAGAAAGAAACTTGACCAACGCAAAAAGCGACTGGTGATGACAAGATTCAAATCTAGGTTCTTCTAACTGGGTCCAAGAGAATGATCTCATATAATGAATATAGGTGAGTAATTGGGTGAACTAAGATATCAAGCAAGCAATAATGAACCAGAATTTCATCCAACGGCTTCGACGCTATGTTGGTTGCCATCAGCAAACAATTTTGCGTGAATAATGAAACCGTTGTAAAAGGTTCATGCGGGAGAAAGTTATATCAGGGTTCTGCAACCAGTTTCATGGACAGACAGAGAGCCAACAAAGGTTTCGTTAATTGGAAGTCCCAAGAAAAAACCACTCCTCCAGCTGTTTCTAAGCTGGATCGATGAATAATTACAATGGGAAGAAAGAGATAGGTGGAAAACAGATGAACAATAATGAAACAGAGATGATGAAATGATCAAATGTCGACAGATCAGAGAAGAAATGAAATGATGAGTCGATTGTTCAATGTACCCGTCAATTCGAAGAGAGAGAAATGGTTATACGTAAGATATCACATCGATGTATGTTTTGTAGCTAAACTGTTGATGCGCACGCGCATACATGGAATGGAGCGAGAGAGGCTGTGTGCGCATGTTTGTGCCTCAAGCAAATGAAAACCAGATTTTTCCCCTTTCGTAGCTCATAAGTAGTAGCCACAGTGCACGCAGATGCTGAAGAAGATTGAGGAGATAAAAACAGAACGTAGCACTAAATCCAACGTATGTGTCTTATTCAAGATCTGGAAGAAATGTGGAAAGAGATTTAGTGCAGAGGTTAAAACACGAAGGAGATTGAGCATAGATCCCTCCATTCACAACCATCGGTTTGCATCCTGATTCCAGACTGGGGGAATCACATGAACAAAAGCGATTCCATGAAAAGGGTGGTCGCATATTACGATAACAACAAGCTTTAGCAATTACACATGAGCAAACTTACGGGCTTTACTCAGATCATTTATTCGATCCCAAACTGCAGCCACATTCTTCATGCATCCTTCACTTCCGTTCTTTTTGAACACCTCTGTTGTAACACGACTGAATCCATCACATTCGGACATATTCGGAAACATCCAAATGGGCGCAGATGCCGCCAGGGAACTGTGAAAAAGACATAATGTAGTTTAGCACTTCGCCATCCGCAACCTGGCCCATTGGAGTAAAGTAGCAACAATATTTGTAACATTTTTGCTTGGCATGTTACTCTCAGGAACTGCAAGAATCCGGCAACACAAAGTTCTCTAGCGGTGCAACCAGAACATGATACTAATGGCTTGGGTGACTATTTTCGAGAAACTAATGGTACTCACGAGTTACTTTGGTATGCGCGTTGAACCTACTAATTGTCTGGTATCCAGGTTGGGTATATATATGGCTGATGCTCAATTTCGTTTCTTTTTTTTCTTGTTCACCCACTTAATTTCCATTTAACTATTTGTACGTAAGTAGCTGACGTTTTTAAGGAAATGCTTTAGTTAATTTTAATAGCCCCTGTCTATCTGTACATATCTGTTGACTGGGATTTACAAACCCAATGTGCTATAAATGTGCTTGTCTGTTTGACGTCAGCGATTGAGAAGAAAAAATGAAACGTTAACATCGCGACATATGACTACTTTCTGTCTTGATGCAATCAGACACTTACTTAAGCACAAACTATAGGAACCGATGGAAGGAGCGAAAAAAATGAGAGATTAACTTGCCCATGTACGAGATTTGGATATTTCATTCGCATCCATGCAGCCAACATGCCGCCATAAGATCCACCAATTGCAATCACTGCAGATGACTGGAAGTCGGCATAACTGGCAGTTAAGTTAGAGATAAGTGAAGCATAGTCAGCCATTGCCTGTTCTGCGGTCAAGTAACCAAAGTGTTTTGAATCCTGCAGTGCGGATGAAACAGTAGTAGGGTAAAAAGATGAACTGAATACAGATAAAGGAAGAACGGACAAAATGATTTCTCATTTACCACATGCAGCTTTCTCTAGACAGAATGCGAGTTCTAGAGCAATGGTTCGGTTATTGACATCAGGCAGCAATGTGAAGCGCAACCAACGTTAGGTGCCTAGCACCAATTTGATAATGATTGGTTATTCTGTTTTCTCATTCAGTACAAATGTCATTCGAATAGAATCCTCTCGGATTTGCCACCCAAAGGAGTGTTTTTAGATTATCCTGAATTTCGAAGTCCCGGTTGATTGCCGTGTTTATATTTGTATTATGCATCATGCGAAAGCAAACCTCCTAGGAACCGATGCTCGCATTGATTCTACAAAGTGGTCAGTCAGTATTAATTGGGCGTCATGCAAAATTTAACAGCAGTGATGGAGATGAGATAACGTCACACGCAAAAAGCTAGACTGAGTTCCTGAAGGAAAACCCCTTCATCAGGTCGGGTTTGAAAGAAGTATGCCATGGTTTAAATTTGCAAATGTCCATTTGAAAAAACATCATTCCTTATACGCATGGTTCTTTTCTTATCTCTCAGATCCCGCGTGATACCGCCTGTTGTTTACATTCAATGTAAATCGGTTGCGATGTAACCATTAGGACAAGCAAATCACAACCGCCACACTGAAACAACAGAGGTTTACGCTCATTGTCGCATTCAATAACCGTACATTTTATCAGATTAGCTAACAAACTATCGTCTTCACTGGAAGTCTTTCACTATGGATCTCAATGAAGCACGTAAGATTCCACGTTGATTATCATCCTAAAACTTCAAATACAACCTATCCTCAAGCAACACTCTTCATGCGCCATGCGATACGGCTGAGGACGCTAATACAACGCCGACGACTGCAATGGTTTGGCCACATTCTTCGCAAGCCTGATAACGACCTGACGAAAGCTGTCTTGGCACCGCCTCCCTGCCCGAACTGGCGACGTCGGCTCGGTGGACAGCTGAAAACCTGGCTCGACACGGTGCGAAAGGATACCGAAAACCTTGGCCTCCGTTCCGTCTACGGCGTTCGCCAATGGAAGTCAAACTGGATCACAATATGCTCTGATCTTGCCGCAGACCGCCGAGCGTGGGCAGCGGCAATTCGATATATCCATGAAGCCGGCTTATCCTCTCCCAGGAGACAGCCGCCGCAAAGTAAAGTAAAGTAAGATTCGGCATCTGGCGCTAATGACCTTGATGGCGTCAAGATCACGTTAGGTTGCAAGGTTGATGAACGGACAATCAGCTGACGCCATTCGCATGCACACACACACACACACGCACGTACGCACATGTCACAGAACATTTGAATTTGCTCCGGTTATCTGATAAGGGCTCACGCTCACTCTGGTATCGATTTAACCTCATCGATCCCTTTCATGAGATCGGCCTGTAAGCTAACAATTTCATTCAATGAACGATCCACTTATCAAACGGTTGTTTTGTGCCTCCCAGCGGACGGGTCATACCAGTTGAGCGCTCGCTTCTTGGTTAGATCTCGGCTATCAACTGATTTCGCGGTATAACTTCACGGTTCCTTGCAGCAACAGAAGGAACTATTACTGATTATTTATGTACGTTTAGGCTCCGACTGTTAGCCGTTTACCCTAGGTGGCGGATGGATTTCATTTAATACTTGAAAATATTCGCCTGTCGCCGGAAACCTCAACGCTGCATAAAGATCTGGGAATGAACCAGAATGGCAACTTAACGGTTCGTGGGAAAATCCGTGGAACCGAACAAACACTGATTCTCAAAATATGACAGTAAATCTGAGTAAGAGTCTAATAGTTACCCTGAGAATAACTCTAACAGAGTGTATCACTTCAAGCGTCAACTAGTTGATGTCCTCAGTTCAATCAATTTCAGTTCTTAAAACCATCAACCATGCATTTTCATATACCCGTTTTGGTTGCCCAGCAGAATAAGGACTATAATGTTGAGAGCAAATTCAAGCGAAAGATAGCGAATTTATATAGGCTGAAGTTGCAACAACATCCAGCTATATAGCACAAGGTCTCTAAAAATCGGTTACCGTGACCATGAGGTCCCCAACCAGGGAGCCTGACGGAACATATGTGACCCAGTCTTCTGGTTGGCGTTTACATACCTCTATGCCAGGTTTCAGTTTGGTCGCCATGGGCCATGTTCCAACTGCTGCTTGTCTCGACAAACATGGCTCGCCGAGGCAACTTATATGGCGACGTGCGTAACAGATCTTCAATTTCGTTCAGTTTGAACAACCATTAACAATGCACTTTTTTACGCCGGGTTTATTTGATGTTTCTTGGCTGCCCATATAGATGAACAGTAGGAGAAAGACAGGAAGGTGCAAAGTGGAATCGAAGAAAAAATAGGAAACTTCTTTGAATTATTGCGGCGAAGAAAATGAGATGTACGAATGCCAGTGTTTACGACACGCAATCATATCGCTCAGTGTCTCTAACCATCGATTACGATTGTCCCGAAGTCCCTATCTAGGGAGCCTAACGGGACCTATATAACCCAA